ATTTCCACCCTTTTTCTTTAAAAATGACTGTCCAGTGAGAGCCTGTAGGCAGCTCCGCCTCAGGATGACCCCAGGATCATGGACTGTGCCCCTCTTAGGTTGTCCTATTCAGGCATAAACCTTACCCGTCAGTGGAGCATGGATATACACGTCCATGTCCTGGCTTAGGTTGATTCAGCCCAACAGGATCTTACCCGTCATTGGCTACCAGCCCTCCAAGGGGTATCATCCCAGGGGATCAGTTGAGGTGGGGAATTATTTGTAGGAGGCCTCATACATTTGTGCAAGCCAAGTCTGTCGGACTGCACAGGGCAGCTTGAAGTCATTTCTGAGGGCCTGATACACCGAGTGATTGAACGAAGAACAAGGCATTTAAGAAGTAGAAAGAGAAGAATAATTACGCATGTCAGGAGTAGTTAAGTAACGATCCAAGTCAGGTCAAACAGTGCTTTTAGATTAGACCAGATTTTTTCTAAGAACCCTGAATTGATGTCCAGCATGGGGGTGTGGGTATAATTTAGAGCAATAATTTGATTAGTTAGTAATATAGAGTAATTAAGAAACTTTTGATTCCAGTGGCCGTGAATATAGTGCACGAGTTGTAGGTGCACTTCAGTAATATTCTGTACTTTATAGGGGGTGACAAAGTGACCTAAAGCAAGGGTCATAAGCTAGTAGAGCCATGTCTTTGGTAATTGCCAGCTCTTAAGAGATCAATTTGTTGTTGTAACACATTAATTGGGACTGAGTGTGAAAAGTAGAGGAGGTTTTGGACACGGCCTCGTGGAGTCTCTCCACAGTAGTGGAGGATTGGGTGATAGCCACCGCAGCTGTGGCGGCCAAACCTAATGCAAGGACGATGGCTGAGATGAGAGCGGCAGTGACCCTGAAATACTGTTTTAAGTGGGGGGCTTGTGATAAGGCTGTCCGCTCCACAAGGGTGACCACATGGAAGTGGGTTGCATTGGTGACTGGAACCCAAAGGGCCATGGGTTCACACATAAAGAGAACTATGTGAGCTGGATGGTTCCAGCAGGCCACCAGTACACAAGTGGTGTTGGTATCGGAGCAGTTGAGTTGTCGCTGAGGGTTGGAGGTAACATTGGCTAGCAATAAGGAAAATGGGGGCCACACGCAAATGTGGGTAGGGGGCCAGGATGTCGTGTGATCAATGGATATAAGGATTTTGGTTTTGGCACAAGTAGAGGGATTGGTGTTAGTGTAAGTGCCATTGGAAAGCTGAAGGCCCTTAAGATTCTAGGGAGTGATTAGAGGGGGAGCGGCTGAAGTGGCAAAAGGGAGGGATGGCATGGTTGGGCTTAGGGTGGCATCTCTGCCACAGTATAGGGAGCGTGAGGAAAAAGGGTGCAAGGGAGTGTAGCATGGGCAGTTGGGAAGTGGTGGGCATAGAATGGCAGGGCAAAATGGGGCCAGAGGGGTGGCAGTCCCCTCCGCCTCCCCTGTTATTATTGTCCCCAGTGCAGCGAGGACCGAGGCTACATGGGTGTTGTTGAAGGTAGGGGAAAGGCCCTTGAGTTTAAGCGTGTAACCCGAGGAGGCA